CGAGACTCGGTTCCTGTGCAACTCCTCCAAGGTGAGGGGCCGGGGGCGGGGGCCGGGGGCCGGGCGGGCGCCTCACCTTGGGCCTGGAGAGCTGGGGCGCCTGGGACGGGCGCTGCCGGTCACCCTGCCTGTGAACACGTGTTCCCGGCCGCTCGGCCTTCTCTGGAGGAGGGGCGGCCTCTCTAAGTCTGGGCTGGCGGTAGACAGAAGCTGACCCCGAAAGACATTTTCTTGGATTCCTGGTGCTGCTGTAACAAAGCCACGACAAGTGGGTGGCCTAAAGAATGGGGACTGTGGCTGCCGTTGGGAGGCTAGAAGAACAGGGGCTCTAGGGTCCTTCCTTTGGGGGCAGGCCCATGGGTGTGCCTGGCCTCTTGTAGGAGCCTCACATGGGGCCTGCAGAGTGTGTGTGTGTGTGTGTGTGTGTGTGTGTCACTTTGCGTGTACCACTGTATCGCTGTCCAGTCCACTTGTTTGAATAAAGCACCTTCAGAAAGGATTAGGTCTAGAACCCACTCCTCACTTTCCAAATAATGTCATATTCACAGGTACAGGGAACTCTGATGGCAGAGTAGTTACAGGTTGGGGCTGCTCACAACCAGGTCAGCAGTTCGAAACCATCAGCGAACACCCCTCCTCCAGAGAAAGATGAGGCTTTCTACTCCTGGAGAGAGTTAGTCTCAGAAACCCTGGGGGCAGGTCTACCTTGCCCTGTAGCATCCCCATGAGTCATTATTGACTTGATGGCTGTGAGTTCCCCACCCACATCCACGCCCCAAAAAGTACAAGGTCTAGGACTTCAATATGTACCTTGGGTAGACTTAATTCAGTTCACAATAGCATTTTAAAGTTGAAAAGCCAATTTTCTCTGTAAACCTTATACCCAGAAATTTCATCACAATAAAACCTTTTTTCATTTTTAATGTGGCTAGTAAAAAAAATAAAATTGACAAACTCTGGCTGCTCATTTGTGCTGTAATGTAGTCTTAATTTCAGTAATATAAATCAGAGGCAACCCTTCGATGACTTGATTTCATTCATTTAAGGATAATACTTTCTGAGTGAAGTGTGGATCAGGCATTGTGTTAGACATTCAAAATGAAGGAAGGGCCTTACTGACTCGAAGAAGACAAGTAAATGCTCCTCCCTACACACACACACACACACACACACACACACACACACACACACACACACAC